TTTTACTTTCAATATCATTTGATGCCAATACTTTTGTACTTTTACTTAAGTAACATTTTGAATGCAGGACTTTTACTGTAACAGAGTATTCCTACACTCTGGTACTTCTTCTTTTACTCAAGTACAATATCTGAGTACTTCTAAAAAAAAAAAAACATCTCGGCCGTCATGATCCATCCTTCATGACCATAGGTGAGGGGAGGAAGGAAAATGGCCCGGTAGACAGAGAGCTTTGCCTTCTGGCTCAGCTCTCTTTTCGTCACAACGGTGCGGTAAAGCAACTGCAGTACCGCTCCCGCTGCTCCGATTCTCCGGCCCATCTCACGCTCCATTGTTCCCTCACTCGAGAACAAGACCCCGAGATACTTGAACTCCTTCACTTGGGGTAAGGACTCATTCCCTACTTGGAGTGGACAGTCCATCGGTTTCCTGCTGAGAACCATGGCCTCAGATTTGGAGGTGCTGATCCTCATCCCAGCCGCTTCACACTCGGTTGCGAACCGATCCAGTGAGTGCTGAAGGTCGCAGACCGATGAAGCCATTAGAACCACATCATCTGCAAAAAGCAGTGGTGCAATCCTTATACAACTTGAAGTGGTTACCTGTTACAAATACTTGGGTATCTGGCTTGATGACTGTCTCACTTTTAAACTTCATGTCAATAACCTGCTTAAAAAGCTGAGGGTTAGACTAGGTTTCTTCTACAGGAATAAGTCCTGTTTCTCGCTTGAGGCCAGGAAAAGGCTAGTCACTGTGACCTTTTTACCTGTGCTGGATTATGGTGATTTGTTATATATGAATGCACCTGCCAATTACCTGAGCAAGTTAGATGCTGCGTATCACAGTGCACTGAGATTTTTGACAAATTGTAAAGCACTTACGCATCACTGTACCCTGTATACCAAGGCGGTTATGCCATCACTTACTGTACGGAGGCTCAGTCACTGGTACTTTTTCATTTACAAAGCCATGTTGGATAAACTACCATCTTATATCTGCTCCCTGATCTCTCTGCGAATTGAAAGTACTTATTGCCTGAGATCGCATGCTGTGGTTTTATTAAATGTGCCAAGTGCTAGGACTGTCTTAGGGAAGAAAGCTTTTAGATGTGCAGCTCCACTAACATGGAACAGTCTGCAAAAAGAATGGAGAATTACCAAGCTAGTACCACTACATGTTTTTAAAGCTCGGTTGGATGCTACTCAATCAGATGCTGTTGGTACCTGTACTTGTGGTTAAATATGTCAATTGTAATCCCTGTACATTTTGCTGTATGATGTCCTTTTGTTGTTCTGTTGTTTATGTCTTCTTGTGGAACCTACTGCTGCAGGTCTCCCTTGAAAAAGAGATCATTGATCTCAATGGGATTTTACCTGGATAAATAAAGGTTTTGAATTGAATTAGTCCACCGAACTGCAGACCCCCTCCCCCACGACTACGCCTCGAAATCCGATCCATGTATATTACAAACAGGATTGGTGACAAAGCGCAGCCCTGGCGGAGGCCAACCCTCACTGTATGTTAGTCACTTTGGATAAAAGTAATGTAATGTACCAAATTGAAGCAGATTAGACTTTGCCTTTATGTGACCCACAGTGTCACCTCCATCCAGCTCATGATCATTTGTCTGCAGAGTAGAATCAAATCAAATCAAGTTTTAATTATATAGCACATTTATAAACGATTTTTGGTGGAGCCAAAGTGCTGTACATATAATAAAAAATAGCCTACAGTAGAGACACTTTACAGCAAATACAACAGCACAGATTGTTCAGAATATCAGTATGAGAAAAACGACACCCTCTGTCCTTAGACCCTCTGTCCTTAGACCCTCACATCGTACAAGGAAAAACTTCCAGAGAAAACCCACAGTTTAAAGGGAACATGGGAGAAACCTCAGGGAGAGCAACAGAGGAGGGATCCCTCTCCCAGGACGGACAGAAGTGCATTAGATGCCGTGTGTAAATCTAAATAATACATTTGACAGCATATAGACCGAATGTTAGGAAATGCATGTGTCTGTAATAAGAAGATGAATCCACGAGGATGTCAGCTACAATCCTGAGGAAGCCATCAGGGAAGCAGCATGACGAGACCCAAGGCAGGACCGCAGAGACAGGTTCAGCCACGACCCGAAGTCCACGACTTAATCCAGAACTCAGGATAGAGGATCCAAGACACAGGACTACAGCAAGAGGATCAGCCTCGACTCCGGATCTCGGCGTAGATATAGACACAAAACAAGACAACATTTGGCTGGGTTAATCGGAACAAGAGAATACACAGACACAGACAGAGAGACGGAAGAACAAGCACTCCCTTAGGATAGGTTGAGGGCAAAGGGTAGCCAGTAAGAGAGTAAGAAACATAGGTGGAGAGGCACACTCAGGGAACAAGGTCCCCACTGGAGCCTTAGTTGGAAATTGATGCGAGATAGAGGTACGCTGTGTCTAGAAAGTTGTTATGTATGTAATTCAGCCCCCTCTCTGCAGCTTACAAAACAAGGTGTTGTTACAGCAGCAGAGTGAGACCAACAGCATCCGTCCACCAAGTGTACAAAAAAATATGGTTGACAGTGATTTGCATAATGCAGCTCCAGAAACAGCCAATGAACAGGCAGAGCTCAGATGGTGTTTTATCTTCTGTACTCCTGCGTTTCTTGTCAGATGAGACAAGGAGGGGAGACGGAGGAGATCTCATGTGTGTGTGTGTGTGTGTGTGTGTGTGTGTGTGTGTGTGTGTGTGTGTGTGTGTGTGTGTGTGTGTGTGTGTGTGTGTGTGTGTGTGTGTGTGTGTGTGTGTGTGTGTGTGTGTGTGTGTGTGTGTGTGTGTGTGTGTGTGTGTGTGTGTGTGTGTGTGTGTGTGTGTGTGTGTGTGTGTGTGTGTGAGATAGCCCGCTGCGATGCTAGAGCGTCTCTGCTGACACCCACCAAGCTTTCTTGGGAGCCAATTAGCCGTCGCTGGGCTCCGCTTTGAAGAGCCGCAGCAGATTCATTTACACACAACTTCTTGTCTCTGCTCCTAATGAAGGAGCTAGGAGAAAGGGGAAGGAAAGAGGGGATGAGAGAGGAGCAGCATACATTTCTAGATTATCTAACCACCAGCTTATGATGTTTACGTGCAGATCGGTGAGGTTTCCATGCAAAATTGGACCTCTAACAACGGAAACGTTTCATAACATTGCATGAAATAACTTCCAAAATAAAAGCTATCAAGTCACTGTGTGGCTCTCAGATGATTATAGCAGATAGTTTTGTATTTTACTTTGAAATGTCATCCTTTTTTACCTTTCTGTAAGGTCTATATACATACATACATGCTCAGTTAATGACGTGTCAAAGCCCTTCATGTGTGAACAGAAAAAGAGAGCCTCATCGCGTCACGCAGCATCCTTGTTATGTCAACGTAGCCGATGCGTGAGATCTGGTTCCTCCCTTGTCTGTTACCGCACTGAAATAACGTCTTGTATGTTAAAGCAGGGATCAACTGTGCCTCGATGTGTCAGACTTATTGCTTTCTCTGCAGATCTCTCATATTACAAAACAAAGCTCACAATCTCATCTGTATTCAAGGGTTGTTCATGTGAGCTGGAGTGTTCTCGAAAGCACGAGCAGAGGCAGCATTCATCTGTTTTCATTTTGGTCTGGGGAAGTGGATGATTGCACCTTGGCTGATTGTCGGTAAAACAATAAAGAAAGAAGAGGGAAAGGAGATATTGGGAGGCTTGAGAAGGAGGGGAAATGAGCTAGGAAGTGGATACAGCTATGATGCTGCTATTGTTGCATCTGAAATAATATTGAGAAGTGAAAGGGAAGTGTTTGTGCATGCAGGCTGAGGCGAGTCTCTGGCCCCTAGTGAGCGCCGCTAAAAATAAACCCGTGAGGAGAGGATTCCTCCCCTCCATCTATGCATGCTCAGTGTTTGCTTTCATCATATTATCACTTAGCCACAATTAAAACACTCAGTCAATAAAATGCATCCTCTTCAGCCTGTCTGATTGGCAGGTTTGCAGCAATAACGATATGATCTGATCCATCACTGCAGTATGAATGAGGGGTCTGTCAGCTGTACCATGACATCCTGATCCTGGTGTCAGTACTAGTATCTTATATCTTAAAGGTGGGGTAGGTAAGTTTGAGAAACCGGCTCGAGAAACACTTTTTGTTATATGGAATGCTCTTAACATCCCGATAGCAATGAATATCTGAAGTGCTTTGACAATAATCCATAAAGAAATGTCATCGGCTAAAGTAACTGGACGGCCTATCTGCCTGTCAGCCTGCCATCTGGGCACAAATGTATCTCGTGCCCTCATTGATCATGTGCGCGTTCGTGTGTGTTGGAGGAGGGGCTCTGTAAGGAAGTGGCAGATTTTCTCCGGTCGTGTATTTTCAAATTCTAGCGATCTCGAGCCGGTGTTCCGGATTAACTGGTTCCCCGATCAACTGGTTTACAGAGGTGGGGGGCGTGGCCTTCGACTGAAATACACATTTCGATCGCTTCTTCTGTCGTTTACATAAATCTTTTGGTATATTTGGCTCGGTAGGACGCGTCCGGATATCTCCATCGTAACCACAACCTCACACACTGGTACTGAATGTGCATCAAAGTCTTCCTACCGAGCCAAATATACCAAAAGATTTATGTAAACGACAGAAGAAGCGATCGAAATGTGTATTTCAGTCGAAGGCCACGCCCCCCACCTCTGTAAACCAGTTGATCGGGGAACCAGTTAATCCGGAACACCGGTTTCTCAAATTTACATACCCCACCTTTAATGTCTGCATGTGGGGATATATACCTGGGACCAGACTACAGTTTGTAACATAAAAAGATGACTGAAAATGCATGACTTTTTATAGGAAGAAGTGGTGATTAAAGTTGGGAAGATGTGTATATGTTCCCCCTCTTAAAATGCAGCTTTTTCTACTATTAATATGTTTTGATTGAACCCAAACTGCCTACTTTTGTTTAACAGTGTGTCTTTATTTTCTTCCCAGCTGTGTCCATCATGCGCCACAGTGCTTCTGCTTTTGCATTTGCTGTAAGTCAACTTTAAATTCTCCTCTTCACTTTAGTTACTCACACTTTAAGTTGTAGGGTAAAATAAGATAATCTGAAACGGTTTTATTTTGTTTTCTCTCTGCAGTTTGATGCCTCCCTGGATGTGTTGTCCTCTGCTATAGTACTGTGGCGGTACAGCAACCCGTCAGCGGTCCACTCTGCACACCGCGAATACCTGTGAGTCCAAAATAATACCTGTTACTATTTTGTGTATCCTTCATAGACTGTCCAGGTAACCCATCGGTTTGCTAACTACCATTTGTACATGTATGTCTAAAATGTTGCGTTTTCGCCGTCAACTCCTTGTTTTCTGTAATCTAGGGTCGAGCTAAGACCCTATGACCCTGACATTATCAGGCAGCCAAAAGCTTAAATTGATTTCGTTTTTCGGCACTGGACATAACTGGTACCTACATAATTTGTATTTGAGGGATAAAACCCCGTTGTAATAAAGAGTTAATTACTTAATGGCTTGCCTGCACCGGCACCTACATCAAAACTGACTAAATATGTAATTCATCTTGCAGAATGTCATACAAATATATTTTAAATACATGTCCAAGGAGTAAATATATTGTGTTGACAGCTGTCTTTCTGTATATTGTGAATTCTGTGTCTTAAAATCCAATTTAAAGACTACTTGCAGACCATGCAGTTGTTTTAGGCTTGACCATATGGTTTCATTACACCTGTGATGATAATACATCCGATATACGTGATGTAATAGTGTGTGTGTGTGTGTGTGTGTGTGTGTGTGTGTGTGTGTGTGTGTGTGTGTGTGTGTGTGTGTGTGTGTGTGTGTGTGTGTGTGTGTGTGTTGTGTGTGTGTGTGTGTGTGTGATGCTGTAGAGGGGTGTATTACTGCAAGCAGGCGAAGCAGATGAAGGAAAGCACTTCACTTTTGTTTTTGGCAATTTTTTTATAACTGAAATTACTTTGACAGCAATAAAAAAAACAACAGCATCTGTTACTGAATGAATCACATGAAACTTACTGTCAGAGCATCTGGTAGATTCAAACAGTGAGTCACACACACACACACACACACACACACACACACACACACACACACACACACACACACACACAATAGCGTCATCTGTGTGTTTGTCCTACAGCTAGTGAGAGGAGTACTGACAACCAGAGAATCAATATTATTTTTATTTTTTTTGTCTGCATTTGATGGGGGGGGGGGATATGGCTCAATATGGATGCTCAGGTACAGAACGGTTGCCATGGTAACAAGCTCAAGGTTGTCAAAAGAAGAAGAATTGGGAACGAGTGAACCCAATTAAACCTTTCGAAACAAAAGCACCGTGATACAAAAGGTGGCATTTAAATATAAAGGGGCTCTATTCTGCATATGTTAAGGTATATCATTATGTAGTGTCTCTACTTTAAAGAGTCCTCTCCTGCTGATGTTCAGGTGTATATCAGTATGTAGAGTCTCTACTTTAAAGAGTCCTCTCCTGCTGATGTTCAGGTGTATATCAGTATGGAGAGTCTCAACTTTAAAGAGTCCTCTCCTGCTGATGTTCAGGTGTATATCAGTATGTAGTGTCTCTACTTTAAAGAGTCCTCTCCTGCTGATGTTCAGGTGTATATCAGTATGTAGTGTCTCTACTTTAAAGAGTCCTCTCCTGCTGATGTTCAGGTGTATATCAGTATGTAGTGTCTCTACTTTAAAGAGTCCTCTCCTGCTGATGTTCAGGTGTATATCAGTATGTAGTGTCTCTACTTTAAAGAGTCCTCTCCTGCTGATGTTCAGGTGTATATCAGTATGTAGTGTCTCTACTTTAAAGAGTCCTCTCCTGCTGATGTTCAGGTGTATATCAGTATGTAGTGTCTCTACTTTAAAGAGTCCTCTCCTGCTGATGTTCAGGTGTATATCATTATGTAGAGTCTCTACTTTAAAGAGTCCTCTCCTGCTGATGTTCAGGTGTATATCAGTATGTAGAGTCTCTACTTTAAAGAGTCCTCTCCTGCTGATGTTCAGGTGTATATCAGTATGGAGAGTCTCAACTTTAAAGAGTCCTCTCCTGCTGATGTTCAGGTGTATATCAGTATGTAGTGTCTCTACTTTAAAGAGTCCTCTCCTGCTGATGTTCAGGTGTATATCATTATGTAGAGTCTCTGCTTTAAAGAGTCCTCTCCTGCTGATGTCCAGGTGTATATCATTATGTAGAGTCTCTACTTTAAAGAGTCCTCTCCTGCTGATGTTCAGGTGTATATCATTATGTAGAGTCTCTACTTTAAAGAGTCCTCTCCTGCTGATGTTCAGGTGTATATCAGTATGTAGTGTCTCTGCTTTAAAGAGTCCTCTCCTGCTGATGTTCAGGTGTATATCAGTATGTAGAGTCTCTACTTTAAAGAGTCCTCTCCTGCTGATGTTCAGGTGTATATCAGTATGTAGAGTCTCTACTTTAAAGAGTCCTCTCCTGCTGATGTTCAGGTGTATATCATTATGTAGAGTCTCTACTTTAAAGAGTCCTCTCCTATTGATGTTCAGGTGTATATCATTATGTAGAGTCTCTACTTTAAAGAGTCCTCTCCTGCTGATGTCCAGGTGTATATCATTATGTAGAGTCTCTACTTTAAAGAGTCCTCTCCTATTGATGTTCAGAGGTGTATATCATTATGTAGAGTCTCTACTTTAAAGAGTCCTCTCCTGCTGATGTCCAGGTGTATATCATTATGTAGAGTCTCTACTTTAAAGAGTCCTCTCCTGCTGATGTTCAGGGTGTATATCATTATGTAGAGTCTCTACTTTAAAGAGTCCTCTCCTGCTGATGTTCAGGTGTATATCAGTATGTAGTGTCTCTGCTTTAAAGAGTCCTCTCCTGCTGATGTTCAGGTGTATATCAGTATGTAGTGTCTCTACTTTAAAGAGTCCTCTCCTGCTGATGTTCAGGTGTATATCATTATGTAGAGTCTCTACTTTAAAGAGTCCTCTCCTGCTGATGTCCAGGTGTATATCATTATGTAGAGTCTCTACTTTAAAGAGTCCTCTCCTGCTGATGTTCAGGTGTATATCATTATGTAGAGTCTCTACTTTAAAGAGTCCTCTCCTGCTGATGTTCAGGTGTATATCAGTATGTAGTGTCTCTGCTTTAAAGAGTCCTCTCCTGCTGATGTTCAGGTGTATATCAGTATGTAGAGTCTCTACTTTAAAGAGTCCTCTCCTGCTGATGTTCAGGTGTATATCATTATGTAGAGTCTCTACTTTAAAGAGTCCTCTCCTATTGATGTTCAGGTGTATATCAGTATGTAGTGTCTCTGCTTTAAAGAGTCCTCTCCTGCTGATGTTCAGGTGTATATCAGTATGTAGTGTCTCTGCTTTAAAGAGTCCTCTCCTGCTGATGTTCAGGTGTATATCAGTATGTATTGTCTCTACTTTAAAGAGTCCTCTCCTGCTGATGTTCAGGTGTATATCAGTATGTAGTGTCTCTACTTTAAAGAGTCCTCTCACTGATTAGTTGGCCGGCTCTGTTGTGATTGGTCAACCGCTTAGAGATGTCCCGCCCCTTAGCATGTAACGTACAATGTGTTGGAGCGCTAGCCAGTGGCGGTTCTAGACCAATTTGACTGGGGGGCCAGTTATTTTCTGAGGGGGGCACAATAAATGCAGGACGAAAAAGAGAACTAGACAGTATGAAGTAATTGCGCATAAGAAAACAATGCAATACAGTTATTGGTATTTGTTTCAGTACACTTATTTATTTCAGATAGATCTTATAGTTATTACTGTTAGCTTCAGCTTAAGTTAGCACTAACACATTTAACATTTTAAAAAAAATGTCATTGTTAGGGGGGCCACAGGGGGGTCAGAGGTCAGTGTTAGGGGGGCACTGGCCCCCCCTGCCCCCCCTAGAACCGCCCCTGGCGCTAGCCAATAGAAGCGTGAGTGTTACATAGTGATTTAATCTGGAAATGTTAGGTGTTTCCTTAGTTACTTCATCCGGTCAAAAACAACGACCCGGACTTCTGCTCCAGCTGTTTTAAGTCGTGTGTGTGTGTGTGTGTGTGTGTGTGTGTGTGTGTGTGTGTGTGTGTGTGTGTGTGTGTGTGTGTGTGTGTGTGTGTGTGTGTGTGTGTGTGTGTGTGTGTGTGTGTGTGTGTGTGTGTGTGTGTGTGTGTGTGTGTGTGTGTGTGTGTGTGTGTGTGTGTGTGTGTGTGTGTGTGTGTGTGTGTGTGTGTGTGTGTGTGTCCTCGGGATCTGGTTAATTGGGCAAAGGTTTTTAAAAGGACATCTGCTGTTTCCCAGTAAATCAGTCACAGTGTGTATCTTACATTGACAGTGATGGAAACAGCAGGCACTGATTTTCTACCCCCCTTAGAATAAGAATAAGAGTGACTTACAATAATAATCCTTATATTTATTATAGCGCTTTATCAATGAATCTCAAAGCGCTTTACAAATACACATTACACATACAGATCATACATACATGTAATGGTCATCTACTGTGGACAATACCCACAGGAGCAAGTTCAGGTGACGTGTCTTGCCCAAGGACACATACGTGTAGGACAGTGCTTCTCAAAGTGTGTTCGCCCCCTAGTGGTCCGTGAGTATATTGGTAAAATTTCACATTTGAAATAAATAAATAAATGTAAGTTTTCCGCACTCTCGCGGGAATATTTCCGCAATGGAGTGAGGTTAAGTTTCACTTTAAATTGCATGATATAGCCCAGATAAACACCGTCATCACACATGTTGGTACCATTTTCAGGCGATTTGTAATCTGTTCTAGAAAAACGATGTGTTTTTTTATATTTGTGGAGTTAGGTGGTCCACGAGTGTTTTTTTTATTGGTTAAGTGGTCCTTGGTATGAAAACGTTTGAGAAACCCTGGTGTAGGACATACAACATCTGTCCAGAGGAAAAATAGCTTACTCAGGCGCATTTGCAGAACATTTTACGTGGTATTTGGTTTATTATTACATTATATAAAACCTCCATCAGACTCCATTGACAGAAATGGTAAATGTACCTCTTTTTCCTCCACAGAGCCTGCATTATCCTTGGAGTTGTTTTCATCCTGTCCTCCCTGTGCATTATTGGTAAAGCCATCCACGCATTGGCCACCAAGGTGCTACCTGAAGTGGTAAGAACTTATGGACTACTAACACACACCTGTGCTATACATTTACGTTGTATTTGGCTTCTATTATCCTGTTATCCCACCATCTTCTAGATCTCCACCATTTCTATCTCGATAAAAACACACTTTTTTCGGATGTGAAATTGCTACGTTTGCTTTGATGAGGAGGAGAATTACGCATTTATTTTGGCTCCAGATAAACGCTCCTGAAATATGAACAATTAGGGAATCCTATGAAGGAAAAGCTCACTTCAATGATGTCAATTGTGGTGAAAAAAACTACATTTCCCAGGATTCAACACTTCTTAGCAATGCCAACAAAGTCTGTCTTTCCTTATTGTTTTGATGGAGAGTCCCCTTTTGACAGAAATGTACATATTGTGGGTTCAAACATTGCTAAAAAAGCCAGTATGACAATTCAAGATTGAGAAAATATTTAATAGTTTCAATTTTTACTCACGAAAACACTAGATAATGACTAACATCGCATAGTAGACATCATAAATTAGGAAATATCTCTGACCGTGGTGCAGAGGTCGGATTTGAGTTCAAACTGGGGTCGCCAGAGTTTTGGATTATAGCACGCACCATATGGGACAGATTATATTATCCATTTAACCCCAAACACATTAACATAGTACTCTGGCTTTATTACTCAAATAGGGTCACGACACAGCTTTGTCGTCCCAAGCTGCCGAATGTAAGCCAAACTTTTGGTGTATAATCAGATTTTTTGGTTTGATCTGTGGCTATTTTTACATATGTTTTGGCCAGATAGTAACGACCACTCAGTCCAGCCTTCTGCTCTCCGTGCTGTCTGCCAGGGACGAGGATTTTTATCCAAATCCCCCCCCCCAAAAAAAGCCCTGTTGACTTAGTGCCTAATAATATCTTCTCCAAATCTGCGTGTACTCCTCAGCGTCCAAAGCAAACACCATGCAGGCAGTTATGTGATTTGCAGCTGATTTTGTCCCCGTCTTGCCTTTTGAACTGAAGTTCATCTAATGAGACGTGGTCACATGGTGCAGGTCTCTGAGGAAAAGCTGTGCTACTGAACAGATGGGAAGTTTTGGCTCTCAAAAATCTCCTGAAAGTTTTAAGTATTTAGTGTTATGTGTCCTGGCAGAAGTGGTGCATTGAGGTACCTTTAATTGGGCCTCGTTATGCTCATTTCAGTATAGTTCATATAACTTCCTGGTGATATGTTGATCTACTAATATAACTCTAATAATATAAAAACAGTGTTAATAAAGCCCCTTACAATTTGTATTATGTATTGTATTGCCCTCATTAGTAGTTTCCACTTTATATTCAACAACAAAATGTTACGTTTGGAAGAATAATCCTCATTAGCTTTAATTTATTTTCACCTAAAAACTGTGGTTTAATCAGATTTGATTGACAGTGACCAAACAAACCCCACATACACTGTACTATCTCTCACAATGAGACATATATGTTCACAGACGAACACCAGCTATGATCGATGTTCATCTCGAGACAAATTGGGACAGAAAACAACTTTAATTGGTTTTCACAAAAACAAGAGTTTTCTATTAGATCAGGTTTGTTTTCCCCCATCAACATCGTGTGTGTGTGTGTGTGTGTGTGTGTGTGTGTGTGTGTGTGTGTGTGTGTGTGTGTGTGTGTGTGTGTGTGTGTGTGTGTGTGTGTGTGTGTGGTGTGTGTTGTTGTGTGGTGTGTTGTGTGTGTGTGTGTGTGTGTGTGTGCGAGAATAATGTCACAAATCTCAGTTGTGATGACTTCCTAGTTTTATTACGCTGTTGCCAGGCGATAATCATCACGTGGTTTCAGTGTTGTGTCTCTCAGCGTGATGGTGATGAGTAAACATGGGAACATCGTGCTTAGCTGAGCTGAATTACTGCAGAGAGGATATTCAGGATCTTCCCCGGCCTCTTTCCACTTTACATCTACGATTCAATCCACACTGGTATCGTTTTAAACATGAGAGGAAAAACAGGTGTCTGGTTTTGCTTATTAGGCATTTTACAGGCTTTAAAAATACGCTTTTTTAAGCATTTTATGAAATTTAGGAGATAATAGCAGAAAACAAGTTCTTAAAAGCCATATATTTGAAAAGTATCACACCAGTACAACTTATTCCACAGAAAAAGCAAAAAATGTATGTGTACTCCTCAGAAAACTCCAATTAATCTGCTTTACTTATCTCTGAAATATGCTTGGATCTAACTTTGATATGTTAATAAAAACTAAGATTTACTTTACATTCACACCAAAAAACTACATATTTGGTTGCTTCACACGACGTAATGGTTATATTTGGGAATATAAAGCATACATTCACCACTTAAATCAAATTCTGTATATACTTGGTTTCAGCTGCAGAACTAAAACATAGTGAGATATCCTCATTTCAAGAGTTTCAAAAAGACACACTCAGGCTCAACAATCCTTTTATTGACGTTTCTGACCTGTTGTATTTTCTTCACTGTGGCTGCAGCGAGGGAAGGACACACACACACACACACACACACACACACACACACACACACACACACACACACACACACACACACACACAGAACATAATACATATGAAAATGAAAACAAAGGCAGCCTGAGGCGCGGGAGGCAGACAGATTGTGTTTTTGTGAGTCGACCTGCTCCTCTTCTGTCTCACAGTCGGCTGCTAACACACTGCATCACACTCTGAGTTATATTTAGCGTTCCTCACTGCCCTCTTCAGTATGCAGATGCTGCTTTATTTCCTCCCTCTCTCTTCCTCCATGAAATGTTAATAAGGTGAGCAGCTGCCTCGGTATGCAGCAGTGAGAAAGAGGAGGGACATTTCACAAACTCTGTGCTGCTCATGAAATCCAATCAAAAGCTGCCAGAAAACCTTAAAAGTGTCCTTTTAACTCAAGATGAGGCAGATATTAGTTTCTAAATCACGGGACGAAATGTGAATTAGGGCCAGGATTGTTTGGATCAATATTGAGATCACAATTATTCATCACAATTGATTTTAGGGACACAATACTTTTTTATTGCACTTTTATATCTAAGAGACCAAAACAGCTTTGAGTTGTTTCCATGTTGTGCAATGTTTGTGCTAATTAACACATACTTGCATTCATTTAACCTGAAATAACTTTAATTTACTGCATCACTTAGTCCTTACCCCTTCATTTTGCTAAATATATTGCACATCTACTGAGCTTCCAGACATGCAACATCTGCATCGCTTCTCCACATCTAACCCTGATTCATTCATTCAATATTCTGCTCAGGGATCTCTGGAAGTCAAATGTAAATGTCAGGCACTGTGTTTACATTCTAGTCTGATCTCTCCTGCCAATGTGTGTTTGTATTTTTCGTGACGACCGAAATGCCATCTCATCCTCTTCAAATGGATTCCCCACGAATGTACACAAGTCAGTTTTAATATTGCATTTTGAGGAATTAAATGGCAAAGAAATATGCAGTATGGAGTCAAAGAAGAGTCAATCAATCAATCAATGTTTATTCATATAGCCCAATATCACAAATGTTACATTTGTCTCAGTGGACTTCACAGTTTGTACAGAATATCAGTATGACAATACGACACCCTCTGTCCTTAGACCCTCTGACCTTAGACCCTCTGTCCTTAGACCCACTGTCCTTACACCCTCTGTCCTTAGACCCTCTGACCTTAGACCCACTGTCCTTAGACCCTCTGTCCTCAGACCCTCTGTCCTCAGACCCTCTGTCCTTAGACCCTCTGAACTTAGACCCTCTGTCCTTAGACCCTCTGTCCTCAGACCCTCTGTCCTCAGACCCTCTGTCCTTAGACCCTCTGTCCTTAGACCCTCTGTCCTTAGACACTCTGTCCTCAGACCCTCTGTCCTTAGACCCTCTGACCTTAGACCCTCTGTCCTCAGACCCTCTGTCCTCTCACCCTCTGTCCTTAGACCCTCTGTCCTTAGACCCTCTGTCCTTAGACACTCTGTCCTCAGACCCTCTGACCTTAGACCCTCTGTCCTTAGACCCTCACATCGTACAAGGAAAAACTTCCAGAGAAAACCCACAGTTTAAAGGGAACATGGGAGAAACCTCAGGGAGAGCAACAGAGGAGGGATCCCTCTCCCAGGACGGACAGACGTGCAATAGATGCCGTGTGTAAATCTAAAAGATAATACATTTTACAGCATAGGTAGACCAAATGTTTGGAAATGCATGTGTCTATAATAAGAAGGTAAATCCACGAGGATGTGGGAGCCATCAGGGAAGTAGTATGATGAGAGTCAAGCAGGACCGCAGAGACAGGTTCAGCCATGACTCGAAATCCAGGACTCAGATCAGGACTCAGGATCCACGACTCAGGATCCCGGCGTAGATAGACACCAAAAAGAAATGTGGGGAAGCTGGGTTAATCGGAACATGAGAGTACACAGGTACAGACAGACAGAAGGAAGAAGTAAGGTGTCCCCCCCGACAGTCTAAGCCTATAGCAGCTAAACTAGGGGCTGAATCTAATCAGTCCTAACTATAAGCTTTATCAAAAAGGAAGGTCTTAAGCGCACTCTTAAAAACGGATAGTCTCGTAGCAAGTTATGCACAGCTCTCATTAAAAAATAAGTGTGTGACAAACGTGTCCTTGTTGCTGTTGAGGTGATATTGTCTCAGATCCTTGCTGAGGTTTTTCTCTCCGTCTTTAAAGTCTGCACGCTTGCCATCAGTAGCTTTTCATGGCTCCAGGGCCGTAGTGCAATATTAATGCTGCCGCAGAGGCACCGAGGCTCTGCAGCTACCTCCTCCATCTCTCCTTCTCTCCTTCATTCATTTACATTTCAGCCATTTAGCTGTGAGACTCACTACTGGAGCAACAAGAGACACATGTTCAAATGCTTTAAAACCAAAAGGACAGGTGAGAAAATGACAGAATATTTGATAGAGATGGAGAGAATTTGTGGAGTTTGAGTGAATGGTCGAGAGGAGAATTATGTGATTGAGTGGGGATGCAGTGCATGATGGTTACAAAAATCTTAGTGCAGTTTAATTCTCTTTTCAAAAGGAAACTCAAATTGTTGGACACTCTTCATAACCCTGGATTCTGACAACTACACTTACTTACATCTATGTTGCACATAATGCAGTATGTTTTAAATGGTTTCTTCTCAATAGAAAGTTCTTCAAATGTTGTAACGGTTATCTTATTATTAGTCAACTCATGTTTAGTTGCCTTGAATCTTAACGTGACGACATACTGAACAAAACACAGTTCTTAAGTGACTTATATTTGAATGATGAGGCATCTTTCTACAGGATATTACTTTAAAGAGATTTCAGTGAGTGAATCAAGTTTAAAAAAAAGTATCAAAGTCAAAAAAGTTGTATTTCTTTAGATGGATAAACCAGTAGTGAACTTTTAGGGAGGTTCCAGTATTAAACACCAGGAACTCTAAACCATGACCCCCTCTTTCTCTCTCAGGATAGCTTCCTGTTCTCCGTGTCCATCGTCAGCGGCTCGTTGTGCATCATCCTGGCTGTCATCAAGTTTATGCTCGGCAAAAAGCTCACGAGCCGGGCCCTCATCACTGATGGTGGGTATACACACACACACACACACACACACACACACACACACACACACTTTAAAGATCCTATAGTGTGCAAATGCAGCGTGAATTTACTCAACGGGAATTTGAAAGCGAAAACTGATCTGCTGTCGGTATGTGATGATCTCACACACACACACACACACACACACACACACACACACACACACTAAGATAGACAGACACACACACACAGACACACACACTAAGATAGACAGACACACACAGACAGACAGACAGACAGACGCGCACACACACACACACACACACACACACACACACACACACACACACACACACACACACACACACACACACACACACACACACACACACACACACACACACACACAACACACACACACACACACACACACACACACACACACACACACACACCTCCTATATGAGTCTTTGGCTCATAACCAGGGGGGCGGACTGGCCATCGGGACGTGGGCCGGCGGTACCGAAGTGGGCCGGTTGAGAGTCCCGGGCTGATTTGTAGTCCCAGTCCGCCCCTGCTCATAACGCTGCACATTTCCCCGATGCAGGACTAACAAAGGAATTCTGATTCTGACACATCCCTACTAGGAAGGGTTTTCTACTCATTAAGTATTTTCCTAGTAGCAGCATCCCAGTTTAACTTCCAGTGTGACACATATTCTGTATGAAGGCACACGTATATTCCTGCCATGGAGTAACACGTAGGCTGCAAACCATCACCGAAACACGAGATGATTAACGAGATGACCTCCGAGCATCTGACTGACATTAGAGGCATGTTGCCGCTACGCTCTGTACGCTGTTAGAGGAGATGTCACGTGTTACTGGGCCGAATTCCAACACTTATCCTACAAAATGCACTCATCAGGTGACTTTATAGGCAAGTTTATTTATATAGCACCTTTCAACACAAGGCAATTCAAAGTGCTTTACAAAAATGAAAAACATTAAGAGCATAAAACACATTAAAAAGCAAAGATAATAAAACATGGTACATGAATAAAAGTTACAGTGCAGTGTGAGATGTGAATAGTTCAATTAAAAGCAGCGGCGAAAAGAAAAGTCGTCAGCCTGGATTTCAAAGTAGTCAGAGTTGCAGCGGACCGGCAGGTTTCTGGGAGTTTGTTCCAGATATTTGGAAATATCCCAAACCAAATTCTCACATTCCTCTACCCCTAGTCTTCCAGTGAAATTATAGTTATTTTGACACTTTTCTATCCTTTTTATATTCCTGGCTTTCATCCATTTTGCATTCCCAGACAACACATTTTACTTTTACTGTCACCCGATAGGGCTGCACGATTTGGGGAAATAATCTAATTGCGATTTTTCTGACAGAGATTGCGATTCGATTTGCGATATTTGTTTTTAAGCGACCCAACGGAAGTTTATTGTAAAATGCGGCCATATCAACAGCTAGGAAGGTCGCATCAACGTGCTCCCGTCTCTAGCACCCCCGCAGCCCGAGCTACGAGTGAAAGAACTAAACGTACATGAAACTTCCGTTGGGTTGCTTAAAGTCAAGCTTCAGTTTAAGATTCACCCTGTAATAGAAACATGTGATTTTTGATGTGACATGTGAAATACAATTCAAGACTGCCTTAAGGACTTAAAAACGTGGATGACCTTAAACTTTTTGATGTTAAACACGACCAAAACTGAAGTTATTGTACTTGGCCCGAAGAATCTACGAAACAAATTATCTAAGGATATACTAACTATGGATGGCATTAATTTGGCCTCCAGTGAGACTGTAAGGAATCTTGGTGTTATATTTGATCAGGATTTATCCTTTAACGCCCACATAAAATCAATTTCACAAGGACCGCCTACTTCCATCTACGTAACATTGCAAAAATCAGGCATATCTTGCCTCAAAACGATGCAGAGAAACTAGTCCATGCATTTGTTACTTCAAGGCTGGATTATTGTAACTCTTTATTATCAGGGTGTACCAAGAAGTCAGTCAAGTCGCTTCAGCTGATTCAAAATGCTGCGGCTCGTGTACTAACCAGAGTTAGGAAAAGGGACCACATTACTCCTGTTCTGGCTGCCTTACACTGGCTGCCTATAGAACACAGGATAGAATTTAAAATTCTTCTTCTCGCCTACAAAGCCCTTAATGGGCAGGCGCCATCTTACCTTAAAGAACTCATTATACCCTACTGTCCTACTAGGGCATTGCGTTCCAAGAATGCAGGGTTGTTGGTTGTTCCTAGAGTCTCTAAAAGTACAATGGGAGCCAGAGCCTTTTCTTATCAGCTCCACATTTGTGGAATCAGCTTCCAGTTTGTGTTCGGGCGGCAGACACCCTATCCGTTTTTAAGAGTGCGCTTAAGACCTTCCTTTTTGATAAAGCTTATAGTTAGGGCTGATTAGATTCAGCCCCTAGTTTTGCTGATATAGGCTTAGTTTGTCGGGGGACATCTTACTTCTTCCTTCTCTCTGTCTATACCTGTGTACTCTCATGTTCCGATTAACCCAGCTTCCCCAAATGTCTTTCTTTCTGGTGTCTATATACGCCGGGATCCGGAGTCATGGATGATCCTGCGCTCCTCTGTCCTGGATCGCGAGCCCTGGATCTTGAGTCGTGGCTGTGGTCCTGGATCATAGGTCCTGGATGGATATCCTCGTGGATTCATCTTCCTATTATACACACATGCATTTCCAAACATTTGGACTACCTATGTTGCAAATGTATTATCTTTTCAATTTACACACGGCATCTATTGCACGTCTGTCCGTCCTGGGAGAGGGATCCCTCCTCTGTTGCTCTCCCTGAGGTTTCTCCCATTTTTCCCTTTAAACTGTGGGTTTTCTCCGGAAGTTTTTCCTTGTACGATGTGAGGGTCTAAGGACAGAGGGTGTCGTATTGTCATACTGATATTTTGTACAAACTGTAAAGTCCACTGAGACAAATGTAACATTTGTGATATTGGGCTATATAAATAAACATTGATTGATTGATTGATGTGATGGAGCATTACTGACCTGACTCTGAAACCATCTAGGAAAGCTCCATTGGAAGCCATTTGGAAAGGGCAGGCACTTTGAAAAGTACTTGGCAGGTGATTGGATCAATCTGTCTATCACCTTCTATCATGGGCCACTTCTGATTGGTTAACAATGGCTGGTACATGTGGAGCACAGCACTTCTGATTGGTTAACAATGGCTGGTACATGTGGAGCACAGCACTTCTGATTGGTTAACAATGGCTGGTACATGTGGAACACAGCACTTCTGACACAAGAAGAATTTTTTTTTTCTCGCGATTAATCGATTAATCGTTCAGCCCTACCGAACACATCTTTGACCTTTAAACCACTTTGTAACTGTCTCTCTTTCCAGGATTCAACTCCCTCGTGGGGGGGGTGATGGGGTTCTCCATCCTCATCAGTGCCGAAGTGTTCAAGCATGAGCCCCAGGTGTGGTACCTGGACGCGACAATAGGTGTCCTCATAGGACTCATCATCCTCGCATACGGAGTCAAGTGAGTTTATTCTACAGGTTATTTACACTGGAAAAAATGCAATGTAAAAAGATCTGCCAATAGAACATTTGCTTGGTTCGATTTCTTGAAATAAGACGGGATATTTAGATAAAAGAGAACTTGTGATTAGCTGATAACTTATTTTGAACTATATCTTACCAGGATCAGTAAAAAGTTTTCAGTTTTCTGATGTTAAAACAAGATGAACCATCTTTTACAAAAACCACAGGAGCTTAAAAAACTTGTTTCATTTGAGATTTTGAGTTTTTACAGTGTAGTGAAGTATTTTGATAAAAGACAACATTATGTACAGATTAGACTAGTTTAAATGTACATTATTTTTGTTACAGGAGCACCTAATCCTGTTATTGAACTCAAGCCGGTGACGAGTGATATTTTTCTAACAGATGAGAACGTTTTTTATTGGGATCTAAGTGTTTTAATCATCTCTTCCATTACTAAAAAGTATCCTCTTGTATCTCCGCAGGCTGCTGGTCGACATGGTTCCCCGGGTCCGACAAACTAGGAACTACGAGCGCTTTGAGTGACGAAGAGGAGGGTTAGTAGGGGCTGAAGGACAGACTGACTGACAGACATTCAGTCCTGGAGGTGCGTTCAGGCTACAGTGTCTGTACTCCAACCATTCACACATCTGAGCCCAGGAGGACGCTGCGGCACATTTTAAGTGTTTTAAAATTTGGTGTACATCTAATATATTTATGTGTCTTTTAACAGCCGTCTGTTTTCCAACGCCTCGTGTTTAAACTAAGGGGTTAAAGAGCTCCTTAGCAGCAACACATTTTTGTACAGAGTAAATAATGTTCAGTACCTCAGTAAGTCAACACAGCAGCTTATTTTCCCCATGGTTCCTAGAGGCCTTTGCTGTAAATATGAAAACGCGTGGCAGGTGAGAGAGATGGATGTAGCTGATGTAGCACGGGAGGGTTCATGCTGTCTCTTTTATGACGAGAGAGAAGGTTAAAAAGCACAGAGGCTGAGCAACATGTGAACCGAGACAGAGGCACTGTGTCAGAAACCCAGTGCCAGCGCCAGCTTTCAGTCCTGCAGGATAACAATCATAAGAGGGTCATGGCTTACAATTCACTGAGGGAACATATCAGAAACTAGCTTAGTAGCTTCGTGTTGCAACCTCTTTTTATTTATTTGTGGTGACAAAGTACTTTTACATTTAGCGCCATCTACTGGGCAAAAGAGGTACCTGCCACACACAGGGATACATGTGAATCTGCATCTAGCCTAACAGCCTGATTTGAGAGTAACTGCATCAATAAACGACTAAGGACGTCCTTAAAATAGGGAAGTAAAGTAAAATAAAATAAAAAAATCTCATTTGTTGACTCCAACACAACCACAGTGCTATATTTCTCTCTTTGCCAATTCATGTTTTGCTTCTTCATGCAAAAATACCAATTTTGCAGGAAGCTATCTTTGGGTAACAGATTTAGTTAAGCTTTTGCAGGATTGATCTGGAGAAACTTTACAGATCTCTTGATTCAATTGATTACTTTCTTTATTTAAGGACTGTCCCAGTACGTTGTTGTTGTTGCAGTTTTCCACTTCCAGTTGTTTACTCTCGTTAAGCTCAATACAATAATTAATGTTTGAAGAGTCCAGCTGTCACATCAGGTGGTTTGTGACAAACAGAGGCTTGTCTTCACATGTTGGGTCTACTCCGTTTTTTAAATTGGTTTGTCCGCTTTCAATAATTTGGTTTGTTTGTGCGATTAAGTTAATAATAATATAGGCAACCATCACGCAGAGTCTCAGTGCTTTCATAGATATTTGCATTTTTATGCTACATATATTTATGTATTGTGTCTTTAAGTTAATTATTTAGAAGGTCCTAAATGTAATTTGGAGTCTTCTCGTCTTTATTCCTGATGGACTGTGACAGAAACGTATCTATGACAAGCTGACATTGTGCAGGTCGTAATTCATTTCAATACATTTGACACAGCTGTGAATTACTCAATCTTTAAATTCAAGATGATACTGTGAAGGATTCCACTTTCCAGCTACTTCACTCGCTCCGATTGGATCTTATTGATGAGAAGAAGCTTGTTTTGAAGTTTGCGCTGAATTAGACGTCTGTTAAACTGTACTTTTTGTATTCTGTTCTATATGATAAATGATACTACTGATAGCATGGACTCATACTGCAGCGATGGTTTTAGACAACAGTCTTTATCTGGCGTCAAGAGTAGAAACATGTCCTCTTATCTGGAGCTGCTGTTTGTTGGGGATTTAAAAGGGATTTTGCTGATTAAAGTACATTGACTTGTGGAGTAATCGCAATACATTGGATTAATGTTGTGGATAACTTTGTAATAGTGTGTAAAGGATTAAATCCCAGCGTGAATCTGTATTAAAGCAAACCACTTTAGAGTTTACTGAAGCACAGTGGCTAATCTACTCCCAGGCATTATTGAGTAAAGTGACCATCATGTAAAAACCCCTGACTCACTAACCGTGTTTGTTCCTGTGTGAATCCAGAGCCTTAATGTTACTGCTCAGTGTTTGCTGACTGTTGAACATGAATGTAATTATCCGCTGTTTTGATTGTCATGAACGGGAGTGTGTTTCTGCAGTGGCTGTAACTGAATGTACACGCTGTGAGCATAATATGTTCAGCCAATTACTGTGTACACTTAACGGTATAACATGTAACATTAAAATGTCTACAATCAACTAAAACCATGGTATATATTGTGTTAATATACCCACAGTATTGAGTATGTAAGTCGCTAAAAGTGTCTAACAAGTGACATGTAATGTTAAGTGGGGTACTTTTATTTTACAACCTATCTGCAGTGTTGGGAGAAATACTTAGATCCTTTACATAAGTAAAAGAACAAATACTATGGTCTTCAAATACTCCACAAATCCATAAAACAAACAAATAGTAGCGGTTCCTGACAAGAAGAATAACTCAGTATAATTTTAAGAAACGCTATTATTATTATCCTTTTTACGTACCAGGGGCAAACTAAACTAATACATACAACAAGTATGTGTAACTATCAATCATTAGAAATTAGACCTTCAAACCCTCTCACAAAGCGAACAGTGACCGAGCAGGGGGCTCTGATGGTGGTGGAGGCGGGGAGGGAGCGGATCAACAGCTTGAGCAGCTGTCAACTCAACATTGTAAATAACCAAGCAAAAACGATCACCGGTTCATCTTGTTTTGGGCGTGAGAATAGTTTGGGCCGCGTGAGAGCTTGAGAGTGAAAGAGTGTGTCACACGCCAGATACGTGAGAGTTAGCAACCCTGGTTTACCTGCTGCAGGTGGGGCCGACCAGTTATACAAGAGGGAGATAATAGCTGTACTTATTTTTTAATGAGCCACATGCCATGATGCACCAACTTCAGACTTCCTCACAGAGCCACTCCTCCAACACACACAAACGCGCACATGACCAATGAGGGCACGAGATAAGTTTGTGCCCAGATGGAAGGCTGACAGGCAGGTAGGCCAACCCAAGTTCCCATCAGCAAAAACACGTGGGTTTGCTATCCTGGCTCCAAAATGGTGGAATGAGCTCCCCATTGAAATCAGGACAGCAGATAGCTTACACACCTTCCAGACTGAAAACTCATCTCTTTCGACTCCACTTTGAGCGATATAATTACTAACAAAGCACTTATATACTAATAAAGGACTGGCTTATCTAAAGCCAGTTGAGTAGCACTTGAAATGTTTAGCTCTATGAAACCTGATGTACTTATGATTCTGTTTTCTTCAAGGTTGTGTCTTCCTGGTGGAACGGACTTATTGTAAGTCGCCTTGGATAAAAGCCTCAGCTAAATGTAATGTAATGTAATGTCTGGGGGGGTATGCCCCCCCCCCCCCCCAGAAGAAAAGTTTTAAAAATAACCCCTTAAATGATGACTTCTAGTGAATTTAGGGGGGGGGGACCCTATAGTGCCCTGCCTCCCCTTTCTATGACAACACAATAGAGATAGGACCAGATGAGTCTTCAGGATGAGTCGACGGCATCTTGTCTTGGGCTTGTTTCTCCCACAGATTGACCCTCTGATATGACTCCCTGATAAACACTGCTATGTCATTGATTAGGTTGAAAAGTGTTCCACATTCGATGACAGTTTGGGTAGTTTCAGCCAGGACAAGATTAAGAACATGAGCATAGCACCACACATGGACATGAGTGGGTGACTGGGAGGTCATCAGTGCAGAAAATCCTTTGTACCGGCCTTGCATATTGGATGCTCCATCTGTTGCATTACCTATACACATGCCCTTGTCCAGTTTCAGATGCTCTAAGACCTCTGAGAGCAAGTTCACAAAGTATTGTCCGGTGGATGCATGGCACTTCACTAAAGCCACAAGCCTCTCTTGCACAGTCTCATTAGGCGCTTTCACACTGCGGTACTTTTCCCACAAAGGTTCATGTGAACTTAGTTCATGTGAACTCTTTTATCGCGTTCACACCAAAAAGAGCCGGTACTAAAATTAGTTCATGTGAACCTTTTTACCCCCTCGAAAGTCCCTTTCGAGCGGCTCTTTTGTGAGAAAAGAGCTACATTTCTGATTGGCTGGAAGGATTGCAAACCACGCCCCGCAAAACTCCCAAAAAGTTTTGTGAAGCCGCCATTTTATTATCCTCGCATTAGCATTATTAGCATTAGCATTAGCCCAGCGCAGAAACGCAGAGAGACTAACTTATGGCAACACAAAATAAAACATGGGAGTGGTGGAGATGAGGAGGTGTCGGCGTTCTGGTGATTTACTCGGAAGGCTTCAGTAGAAGCTGCTGGGAGTCCCAGCAGCTTCTACTGAAGCCAGTCCCCAACTCCGGGGACTTCCGGCCGGGGACTTTGGGCGGCAGTATACGCCGTGAAGTGGTTTGCGGCCTGCCAGTAAACCCAAAGCAGAAGAAGAAGAAGTGACGTCAGCGGCTTCATTTGCCTAATCCACCCCCAGGGACTTTTTCCAGTGTGAACGCGATCTGTACTTAGTTCATGCGAACTAAAGAGTTCACATGAACTAAGTTCACATGAACCTTTGTGGGAAAAGTACCGCAGTGTGAAAGCGCCTATTGACATATTTTAAGATTACTGAACACTGATCCTGAGAAGTTATGTCTTGTGTTGTGTCCAGCTGAACAGAAAACATTCCGGCCTTCTGGACATCACTGGAGATACTTTCTTTGATTAGACTACCAACAGTTTCTATTATGGAGTTAACAGTAGTTTTGGAGAGTAGGGTGATGAGAGACCCTCTACCTTTTGTTCCACTGGATTGGTGCAATTTCTTGCTCTTCTCTACGCAATCATCCAGATGCTCTTTTAAGCAGACATCATACTTTCCTAATAAAAGGATGAGCTCCAAAAAGTTACTGTGGTCCACGGTGTTGTCAACTAGCATATATGCTCCCTCATTCTCCACCTGCCTGCACTTTCACCACACGCTCCAAAACCTGACGTCTCTTTCGGACTTGTTCCCTATGAGCAGACATCTGACTGCCAGCAAACATGCTTTCAATGTCTGCTTTAGAGCACCGAAAGAAAAAAGCTTCAGCACAGGTTGAATGTGTAATGCTCTTTTCGTGCTCCTCTGTACGCTGGTGTGCGTGCCTCCAATCTGACATTCCAGTTATAAATGTGCCAGTGTCAGGCAAAGTAATCTATGTCCTCCTGCTCTTTGCTCTCCTCACTCTGGGGATGCTACCTGGCTCAACACAATGATACAGAATGAATGGATTCCCTGATAGAGGTCCATACAAATAGGCATTGACATAACAATACCACACAGTTAATGGTCAAAACTACATGTGTGCCTCAATTTTTTATCTATTTCTATATTATTCATTCTATATATTGTCAATCAAAACTACCACAAAAAGCTGAATATACAAATATTTTTCAGGTCCCAAAAGTCCACTGTTGCCCTTATAACCAAATAAGTAAATAAACTAAAAAAAACAAGCTGCCAGCTGACAGTAATTGTTCATGAATGTTGGTTAACTTTCAATGAGACAACGTATCAGAGTCCCATTAAGCTATATTTTAACTTGCCAGGGAAAACCTAAAAAAGACAGCTTACTAGCTTGTAGGCTAACGAATGTTTCTCTTATAATATTTGTCTTATTAGTGCTTCATCAAAGGGATATTAATGGGTTCCAGAACTACAGAGTATCATAACCTTAATAATAATAATTTTCTTAGCTTCTGCTTATCGCGAGTTCTCCTCCCTCTCCCCACTCGCGCTGATCTCTCTCCCTCATCTTCTTCACCACCAATATCGGCCACGGGTTAGAAGAAGATGGACCTGCACCTGTACTAAACATGTCGGTTATTTTGACACAAGCGGCAGCATCAGCACGAAGGGCCTGCTTTTTTCTTGCCCGCAATTTTTCTGCTCCCCCTTTTCGCTTGGCCTTCGCCTTCGCCTTCATCATTTCTAACTCCAACTTTTTTTTTTCTCGAAAAAAAAGGCAGTTTGGCTTCAACGGCCGGCTCACCTCCTGGGGGCGTGATTTAATGATGCACACCGAGCGGCCAAAGGGGGAGGTGATTAAAGATTTGATTGGGCCGGCCCAGTGTCAATTACTAAAAACATTTAAACAGAGGGCCAATCTACCCGTCTTATGGGCCGGGACTTCAGAAAAAAAATGACGTGTCGGCCCAAAAGGCACGTCGGCCCACCGGGAAAATGCCCGGTATGCCAGATGGCCAGTCCAGCCCTGCCCTCCGGTATCATTCTATTGGACTACGCAAATTAGTCATTCGGGACAAAAATGTCCACTGCAAAAGACTGATAAAAACATTATATTCAAATGCTTTTTTCACCACTTTTTTGGGTTTAATCTTTAAAGCAACTTCAGCCCTAATCAAAAATACCAAATTTTAACCCTTTAAATGCTATTTTGAATACATGAAACCACTGTTGATTCTCATGATAAAAACAGAGAAAATGAGTTATTTCCATATAATACATATCTGGGGACTGGCTTTTTTTTATCACAGTCTTAGTTATGTCAAAGAAAATTGATTTGTGTGCATTATTAGTTTTTGCACAAAATCAGATTAAACAAAGACAGTTCGGGCAGATCCACCAGATTCTCCTTCTCAGGGTGTTTCCGTTTCAGAGGATGAGTCCTGCAGCTGAAGTTACGGGCTGCATGAGCAGAGACCTCTCGTCCCACATCTCGTCCTCTCGTCCCCCAGCAGCTTACGGACCTTGTAAACCTCACCCCCTTCAAAGAACTGGGGCGGTGGAGGGGGCTTGGAGGCGGGAACAAGTGTGCTCTCACACACTGGCTTGATCTTACTGACGTGAAACGTCGGATGCACTCTCATAGTCCTGGGGAGTTGCAAGCAGGCCCGGACTGGCCATCGGGAGGACCGGGAGGTTTCCCGATGGCCTGGCCTGTTAAGTGGCCTGCTGGCCTGAGGATTTTTTTTTAATGTATGTATTGTGAACGCAACGCTGCGCAAATGTGGGTCTGACTCTGCCTCACAGTCACAGAGTGTGACTGTCTGTATACATGATGTGGCCTGCCCACATGGCCACTTTCATACAGATCGTACTAATGCCCTCGATTGGTCTCTGTGTGTCATTCAAGCTCGGGAGGGTGTGTGTTAGTGTATGTGTGGCGTGAGCGAATGAGATAAAGCACGCGCACCGGTTACGTGTATTGTTGTTGTTAGCATCTGGTGCTAGCTGCGC